TAATATATATATACCTAATTTATATATTCCCGACCATGCAGGTTTTTGGGATGCTCTGGAACACGTCAGATGGCTGGAAAACCAGCACAGAACTAATGTTTCATTTGCTGTAATGATACTCAAACCCCCAATTTAATTAAATTACCAATGTCACTTTTTTTTTTTTTTTTAAATGAACCCATTCCTGCTTTTATGTTTCCATCCTTTAAAATTAATGACTAGAACTTTATGCTATAAATAAAAATCTATCATTTTTAAAAGTCAATCTCTACCACGAGCCGCTCTCTGCTTAATGAACTGTGAAGAATCAGACAACCCTGACCTGCTCGCTATCTTAAAAATCAGACTTGAAAAACCAGGATCTCATATTAAAATTCTGCTTCATTTGGCTGCTTTCACTAATCTCTGGCTCCAGGAGGGAGCACACAGGAGCTTTTTTGGGGAAGGCAGCATTAACTCCTCCAGTGCTCTCCGGGTTCCTGCAGGAAAGCAGGAGCAGGGATGGCTCTTCCCAACACACCCCAGTGCACACCTCAGGAGACAGGCAGCTCTCCAAACCTCTGCCTCCTGGAGGGGCAGAGCTGCTTCCCAAGGGGCTGGGGGCAGTGCTGTGCAGGAGGAATTCGCTCAGCCCTCAAACATCACCTGCTGAAATGTCCCTTCCCCTGCAGAGGGAGGGAGAAGAGCCAAAGGACGCAGCGTTGGGGCTCCAGAGAATCACAGACTTGGTAAAGAAAAGACCTCCAAGACCCCCAAGTCCAACCCAGCACCCCCACCACCTTCACCACACGTCCTCAGCTGCCACATCCATGTGTTGGTGACTCCCCCCCTGCTCCTGACAACTCATCCAGTGAAGAATTCTTCCCTAATATCCAATTTAAGCCTCCCCTGGAACGACATGAGCCCATCTCCTGCCACTTGTCACCTGGGAAAAGAGGCTGATCCCTCCTGCCAGGGAGTTCAAGAGGGAGAAGGTTCCCCCTGAGCCTCCTTTTCTCCAGGCTGAGCCCCCTCAGTGGCTCCAAACAACACTTCTGCTGCAGAACCTTCCCCAGCTCCACTGTCCCTTCCTGAGAAATCCCCCAGCAGTGCCAGGAGGGCTCGGAGGGTGCAGGGCCTGGAGATGCCCTTGGAACCCCAGGACACCCAATGTGCCCTTGGAACCCCCTGGGATGTCCCCAGGACATCCAAAGTGCCTCTGGAACCCCCTGCCCAGTCCCCAGGACATCCAATGTTCCCTGGGCTCAGCTCTGAGTGACTCCCTGAGCTGGTGCAGCCCCTGCTTTGCCAGCCCTGGATTTGTGATTCTACTCCAACATCCCTGAGCAGAGATAATATTATTGCTCATCCTTGGCTGCCTCTAACAGCCAGACTCTCTGATTGCCTCAGAGATTAATAGAACTGTATTATTTACATCAGATGTCGCACAGAATAATATTATTAAAGCTTTGTCTTACCCATTTACCAATTCCACTGTAGATTAGTAGCATGGATTTTTTCCCCCCCCTCCCCATAAAAAGCTTTGTTCCCAGCAATCAACATAATATTTTCCAGTGATTGTATGGAAATGAATGCAGCCACAGAGCAGATTTGTACAGATGAATAGGAGGTCCTGTTAGTCATTTTGTAGCTAAGTCTGTTTCTGCCCATGATGAATTTAGAGCAGTTTATTTTATTTGTCTTGATTTGAGCAGCTGCCAAAGCGTTATCTTATTTTATGACAGAGGAAAGGAAATAGGATTATTCTATTGCAGTTGCACCTGGAGGGCTCCTCAACATCCCTCAAATGTCACTCTCCCAGGAGTTATTTGTCCCTGGGGACCTCCCTGCCCAAGGTGACACAGAGAGGAACCACAATCCTGGTGTTAATTGGCAGCACAGACACGACCAGAGCCAGAGCAGAAGCTCTGGGGAGGAGGTGAGGTGAGAACGACTGTCACACGAGGGGATGTGAGGCAGGAGGTTCTGATGCAGAAAGGGCATCTTTCCAGCAAGAAACATCAAGTGTCAGGACATGGAAAACACTCAGGAACAAACCCAGCAAAACCTGCAACTCTCCCACTCTCTGCAGGTTTCAATCCATCCTTCAAACCCACTTATTTGTCAGAAAGAAACCTGGAGGGCACCAGCCCAACCCCTGCCCAGCTGAGCTCCCTTCTGAGCTCCAAACTCTCTGCTTTTGTTGTTTTTCTCCTGCCTTTCAGTTCGAGCCCCTTTATCCCATCCTTTGGAACCTGCAGGTGCTCCAACCACTCCTCTGTTCTGGTGGAAGGTGTCCCTGCCCACTGGGCTTGGAACAGAGGAGCTTTGAGGGCCCTTCCCACCCAAACCCTCCTGTGACTCTGTGATTCTGCCCCGGCAGCACCACCTGAGATCTCCCCACGCAGCTTTTATGCCTCTCCCTGGAGGAGCCCCATCCAACAGGTGACTCACAGGTTTCAGTGTGTTGAAAATGAACCCAACAAAGTGGAAAAGGGAAGCACAGACTCGAGAAGTTCCCATCACCCAACCCCCTGAGCTGCCACAGAGCTCCCGGAGCCGCCGAGCTTCGTCCTATTCACTGACTTTCATTTTTACCCTCATTTCTTTCTGCTCCCAACCTTCCTCCTCCCCTTGCCAGTGATCACTCCTCTGCAAGCCTTCCCAACCAGGAGCTTCCAAAACCCCCCAGTGCTCGTCAAGCCCTGTTCCAGTTCACTCGGAATTAATTAGCAGCTCTGGAGTCATTAGATGTGACTCGACGCTTCCCTGGCCGCGCTCCCACCGCCACGACGAGCTCAGCCCGGCCCCATCAGCCCCTCCCAAGCCCCCAGAGCCTCCTGGATTGTCAGGAGGAAAAGAAAAGGGAGGGAAAAAGAGCAGGGATGCTTTTCTTCCTGCAGCTGCTTCACCTGCTGCAGGTATTTGAGACCAAACTCAAACCCCGGCCCCGTTTCCCATTCAAATTAATCCTCAGCTCCATTTTCTCTGTTTGTATTGTCGGAATATAAAATAACCCCACTGTTTAATCCATCCAGCTCCTGCTCTCCAGTCTATTACCCTGTTTACAGAGCTAAAAGAAGCATTTTTTATTGCCTGAATTATCCAGGGGAGTTGACGAGAGAGAGATTTCCACGCTGTCGTTGTTCTAACCTTGAAATCTTATCGAGGAGTGCAACTTTTATGATAGGAAGGCTGTGCATTATATCTCTTCATTCCCAACTAATTTTCATTCCTAATAAAGGAGAAAGGAAAGCAAGCAAGCCCTGCCAGAGCAGGCCCTCCCAGCTCCCCCCCTGCAGCTCCTCCAGCAGCAATAATTCATAAATCCCATGAAACGACGCCGCACAAACCGAGCAAAATAACAAAATCATTGACCTAAACTACTTGGCTCAGTCATCTCTGCAACACACATCTCCAAATTCAGCTCCACTCTGCTGTTTTTTTTAACCCTTCTTGGCATTTTCCTGCATTTCCTGGGGAGGGGGGGGTGGAAGTCAAGGCATCCAAAGGGATCCTACGATTTGGACATCAGGAGGAATTTCTGCCTGGAAAGGGTGGTCAGGCCTTGGAAGGGGCTGCCCAGGGAGGTTTGGAGTGCCCAGTCCTGGAGGTGTCCCAGGAAGGGCTGGATGTGGCACTGAGTGCTCTGGGCTGGGGACAAGGTGGGGATGGGGCCCAGGGGGGATCCATGGGCTGGGAGGGCTTTTCCAACCCCAGCGATTCCATGACTGTGCTGGAAAGCCATGCCGGGCAGAAGGATGTTCTTCCTAGAAATTCCAGGGAGAAACCAGATTTTTTAAGGAGAATATCCCTAAGATTTCCATCCCAGCTTTAAAAATTCCCTGAGATCCCTCCGGGGGACACGGACAGGGCACCTTTGGCACCCCAAAAAAGGTGTGAGCTCTGGGACCCACCCAGACCCCTTCCCTTCACTCTTCACCCATAACTTTTGGGCCAAGGACCACAGGGACCCTCTCCCTGACTCTCCACCATCCTTCACCAGTGCTTTAGTACAATCTGCTTTCCTTCAGAAGACTTTTAATCTTCCCAATAACTGTCCAGAGTGTGCTACAGCAAAAGGAAATAAACGCTATCTTTTTCATTTCACTTTATCCTTTTTTTATGTCATGATTTGTTTCCAGTATAGCCAGAGATAAAGCTAAATGGGAACTATTTTTTCCCCCTCTAATATTTCTTTGTTCAACTACAGACCAGGCAGATCGTTACTTTTTGGATAATAACAGACCCAAATGGTTCCTCATCCATCTTTTTTTGTAGTGGTAGTTCTGGGGCTTTTCTTTTTCTTTTTTTTTTCTTTTTTTTTCTGGAAATCC